TGTGAAAAGATCTCATAGGCTTTTATCTGTCACATGCAGAAGCATTCAGGGGCTCAGGACCCAGGGCGGAGAGACTGCAGACCAAGGAGCACCCCTTAGCAGGACTGGGGAGGGGCTCCCTCTACCCAGCATCTGTGTTGAGGCCTTCTGGCCTCGTGGAAGACAGCTGTCAGCCCAGGAGCTGGTCACTAACTTACCCTGAAGCTCATGAGCCCCTGGGGCAGGGGGCCCCCTCTTTTACCCTGTGCCAAGTCAGTCAGAGCACAGGAAATTCAGGAAATGGTAGTTGATCCAAACAGATGTGAGTGGCCGTGGGCGGACAGGCAGCTGCCTTGAAGCCAGGTCTAGCCTGGGCCCAGCAGATGCATGAGCAGGTGCTGTGCTTTGGCCGGGTGCTGCTGTCTGCTCTGACAGTGACAGCAGTGACAGCCGGGCCTGGCTGGGGCCCCTCAGGATGGGTCTTGCAGGTGAGTCCAGGAAGCAGGAAGCCAGGGTGAAGCGCTGATCAGAGCAGAATGGTGGGGGCTTGGAGCTGTGGGGACGTTGTCTCTGGTGCACCCGGGCTGGTGGCTGAGCCCAGCTGGCTGTATCACCCTCAGGAGAGTCATCTCCCGGAAGCATGGGGAATGGGAAGGGGATGTAACCTTTGTACTCACTCCAGGAAGGCTTGAGGGGGCTGTTGGGTGCCAGATGCCTTGCCATCATCCAAAGGGCCGGGCACCATTCCTTCCATTCCACACAGAAGGAAGCTAGAGCCCAGAGAAGAAGGGACTTGCCTGCTGTCAAGCAGCTAGTAAGTGGCAGAGCCAGAATTCAAACCCCACTGCTGGCTGTTGAGGGGTTTTCTTACTTTTTTTTTCTTCTGGATTATTCTCAGGAGAGTAATTACAGGGTCAAAGCACTGGAACACTCTCATAGACCTTGATATGTAATGATCAAATTTTGCCCTCAAAGGGATGCACCAACTTAGAAGGCCAGCAACAATGGACCAGTTTCACCTGAAAATGATCTCCCCCATAAAACCACTGCTGCACCCCAGAGTCTGTGCCCTGTCCTGACCACGACCCTGCCTTCTCCTTGCAGGCAACTCCAGTGCAGTGTTGTGGTACAGCCTGTTGGGGCTTTAACTGGGATGGCATTGAACTTATGTATCACGTAGGGAGAGTGGATCTCTTTATAATGAATGTTAAGTCTTCCAATCCATGGACATGGTATATCTCACCACTTACGGAGGCCTCTTTATCTCAGTTGAGTTTTATGATTTTCTCCAGAGACCTTGTACATGTTTTTAAGAGGCCTGTGTTTGATGTTCTTGTAAGTGGTTCTTCTTACTTCATTTTCTAATTGTTACGGCTGGAATTTTTTTAATGTGGGTGGGGGTTTTTTGTATGTTGATTTTTATATCCAGCAACCTTGCTAAACCCTTGTGTTCTAGTAACTTATCTGTTGGTTCTGTGACTTTTCTATCATCTGTAAATAATGACAGTTTTGTTTCTTTCTTTCGGATCTTTGTACCTTTTTTTCCTTGCCCTTCTGCTCTAGCCAGGACCTCAGTTTGAACCACACTGGAAGTGATAACAATGGGCATCTTTGTTGTGTTTCCATTCTCACAGGGAAAGCTTTCAGTGCTCCACCACCATATGTGATGCTTGTCACAGGGTTTTGTAGCTTCCTACCCTTTAGCAGGGCAAGGAAGTCCTGACCATTTTTTAGTTTCCTAACATTCTTGTCATGAATGGATCTTGAATTTTACCTGCAATCGTAGAGAGGATGGTGTGACTTATTTTTTTCTGTTAAAGCAACAGATTATGCTGAGTTTTCCAATACTGAACCCATCTCCTTGCACCCTGGGGATGGTTGTTTTATCCTTTTCACATATGTCTGGATTCAGTGTGTTCGTCATGTAGGATTTTTTGCAAATATTTCCTGAATGAGATGTCCCTGTACTTTTTCTTTTCACGTTTCCCTTATCAGGTGTTGATGTCAAGGTGTCACAGAGTGAGTGGGGCAGTTCCCTCTTCTTCTGCAATCTGAGTTTGGGTAAGAGTAGAACTCTTTGTTCCTTAAATGCATGTGAGAGTCACAGGGGAAGCCATCTGGGCTGGCAGTTTGCTCTCTGGGAAGTTCGACTCCTGATCAACTTTCTCTGTCTAAAATGTCATGCCTTCCTTTCCATCCTCCCAGACCAGACCACCTCACAGCTGGGCCACTGTGGCACCCTAGGGGGTACTGCCCTGGGCTCCCTCAGCTAGTCTTCCCAAAGCTCCACCTCGATCCTAGCACTCTCCTGCCTCAGACCATCCACCGGTCCCCACCGCCCCCAGGTGAAATCCAGATCTACAGCAAGATGCTCGCGGCCCTCAGCAGTGCCTGGACTGCCTGTCCACCCTTCCCTAATGCTGTCCCTGGCTGAGCTTGTGACCCATCAAGTGTCCGTCCATGAAGATCCCTACAAAAGTCTGGTCCATCCCGACCCCTTTGCCACTAATGTCACCTCTTCCAGGAAGCCTGCCCCTTCCCTTTAGCTGTGGGTTCCCTCTGTCCTGTAGCTCTCTCTTTCCGCACAGTATCAGAACTGCTTTGGGTAGAAGTTTTCTCTAGTCAAGTGGATATTCCAAGAGGGCAGGCATTGTTTATGATAGTTCACTTATTCTGTCAACAAACTGTACCAGGCATCATGTTTGGTGCTGGGATATATCAGTAACTAAGACAGGCAGGTTCCAACCATATTGGGACTTTCCAGTGAGGAGGAAATAAAACAGCTTGCACTGTACAGATATGACTATAAATAAAACAAAATTAAATCTCCCAAAATCTCACTGGTAACTATTGGGGCATTTCTTCCCAACTTTAAAAATACATTAGTAACCTACCTGAATGGGTATATACTACCCTGTTTTACAGATGAGGAAACTGAGGCACAGAGCACTAAAGTCAAAGATCACAGGAACAACTGAGATCTGGATTTTAACCCAGGCAATCTGGTTCTGAGATCCCCACCCTACCCTACCCTACTCCACCAGCTCTTTAAAAAACATAGTTGAAGGTCGAACTATGTCTCTGTTTGGGAGCCCAAATTTTTCATTTCTCTTACAACATACATCTTACCTTGGGAACACAGAAATGTGCATTCTGGCCCCTACCTTGGTATCGCACATCACAGGCTCTACCTACTGCCTTCTCAGGGAGTCCAGGGGCCTGGGTTCTCCTGTCCCTGCCACCAAGTCACTGTGTGACCTCAAGCTAGTCACTTGGCCTCTCTGGGCCTCAGTTTTCACATCTGTAAAGAAGAGCTGAGATTCTGTTACATTACAGCTGGCCTTGAGGATCCCTCTGTTGAGGGGGTGGCATCCCAGGGACCTCTGCCCAGTGCTGGGCCTCCCTAGGCTGTACCCTGCCTTGTCTTTGTCCTGGCTGTGCCCACCTCCTTCCCGCATGGCCCGCACAGCCTTGGCTTATCTGAGTCCATAGGCCCCTTGGCAGCAGCTGGGCAAGTCGCCCCAACAGGCCAGAGGAAACCTGCACCAGCCAGCATCCCACGAAGATGATGGCCCAAAGCAAGCACATGTTCTGGACACCACGCCCCCTCGCCTGTCAGGCAACTGTGCTCAGGATGGGTGACAAGGTGAGTGGTGCTGCAGAGCCTGGGGCCACCTGCAGCATTAGGCTGCTCTGAGGGACTCTGCCCCTCCTTCCTGCCTCAGCTTAAACACACGAACAGTGTAGTAGTGTATTTTATTTATTAGCACATTAAATAAGACTAAAGTTGCAAGTCTAAAATTCATCTTGTTGAAGTAGCAGTGAGTATAAATGATCTAGAAATTTTGCTTCAGTGAGCACGTGATTTGAAAATATCTGGATTTCTGTTGTTGACAAAGTCACAGATGCAGCAGACACCACTGAAGTTTTGTTCCCCCTATTCCTAAATGATAAAGTAAATAGTAGTCAGGTGTGTGGAAATGAGGATGTAAAATTTTTTCTGTTCAATTTCAGAAACCCCTGAATTCTATCCTTTGGTCTCCCCCTCTTTTTGTAGAACTGAGGTTAAAAACCCTGCTTGTGTCATAGGCTTGTGTCAGAGGGGCTATGAGAACAGTGGGAGGGGTGAGGGGCAGAGGGAGGAAAAGCCTTCATGATTGGGTGAGTCTACTTAAAACGGAAGCACAGGGCCAAATTTTACACCTCTGGGCCTTTGCACATGCTGTTCCCTCTGCTAGGCCTTTCTATCCCATCCCCTTGCCCCATCTGCCACCACCAACTCCACTGTCTCCTTGTAAAGCCTCTTTTTGCCCCAACCCCAGTGTGGAATCCCCCTCACTCTAGTCCCCGACTGTCTGACCACCTCTTCTGAGAGCATCTGCATTGATCTCAGGGGTTTGCAGTCAGTTCAGGCTCTCCTGCTGGGCTCACCCAGACAAGGACTCAGCCAGGGCTGCTCCATCTCTGGGTCTCCAGGGCCCAACTCAACACCAGTGCTCAGCAGGTGTTTGTTGAATGGATGAATGAATAACAAAGTCATGCCCTGCCATATTCTCTAAGCTCCTTGCAGGGCTGACATTTCAGAGAGGACTGCCTGCAATGATGTGTGTGTTACCTTCCTAATATGCTTTTTTAAAAAAGTTTTTTTTTAAAGCAGGTTAAAAACAATATATAACCACAAAGGAATATTATATGGCTATAAAAAGAAATGAAGTCCTGACACATGCAACAATATAGATGAATCTTGAAAACATCATGCTAAGTGAAAGAAGCCAGCGACAAAAGGCCACATATTGTATGATACAATTTATTATTTTTTTTGTATGATTCAATTTACATAGAATGTCCAGAATTGGCAAATCCAAAGAGACAGAAAGCAGATTAGTTGGGGGTGGGAAATGGGGCATGAATGCTACTAGATACAACATGTTAGGGTGTTGAAAATGCTCTAAAATTAGTGGTGATGGTTGTGGAACTCTGAATATACTAAAAGCCAGTGAATTGTACACTTTAAATGGTGAATTCTAGGCTATGAGAATTGCATCTCAGTAAATGTGTTATTAAAAAGTATATATGAAAACATCTACATCTTTGTCAATTTCCACATTTTCCTGCAATGTGGTCCCTGCTTAGAGCTGGGCAGTGAGATTTTGGATGTATATGTGTTTTGGATTTTCTGCAATAAACTTACTACATTTGTAATCATTTTTTGTTTGTTTACCTAAAAACACTTGATTCTTATATATTATCTCATCATCTGTCTAAAAAAGTAAGGGGCATACAAATAGATACATTTTTACATTAGAAAGAAATGATGAAAGGAAAACCCATAATATAAAGTGGTGGCCCTTAGGCCTGTGGGTTGAGGTAGCTGTCGCTGTTGATGGGTCCTTGGAGGTTTATCAGACTTTAATTCTCTCTACTTTTATGTATGTTTGAAACTGCTCATAATAAAAAAATTTAAACATACTTGAACCATTCAGCAGATACTTATCACTAGTAGCTGCATTTATTGATTACCTGCTGTGTGCCAAGCTGTGTGTGAAATGTTCCTAGGATCCAGGGGGTCATTTTATCCTTGCACCAGGCCTGGGGAGACAGCACCTGTTACAGGTGAGGGAGACTTAGAGGGGTGTGGTCACACAGTGGGACAGAACAGAGTGTGGGGGTGTCAGGGTCTAACGGTTAAATCCCCACCATTCAGCAGCAGGCAATCGTTGGATCGCATCCAAAAGTGAAAAATCGGTGAATTCAGCGTAAACCTGTCACTTACACACTTAGGGGTTGTCACACATATAGAGGTGAGTGCCAGAAGAAACATCTAGAACACAAATGGCTGCCTCTGGAGGGAGTGGGAGGGGGACAGGAAACTGCTATTTTTTTTTTTTCACTATAAGCCTTGTACTTACATTTGTCTTTTAAAAACGTGTACCTTTTGGGGGATGGTATGGCCCAGTGATAGAGTGCATGATTAGCATGCATGAGGTTCAATCCCCAGTATCTCCATTAAAAATAATAAGTAATTTCAAATTTTAAAAGTGTACCTGTTAATTTTATTGAAAATAAAGAAGAGAGAAAGAAAACAGGATCAGAGAGGGAAAGTAACTTGTCCAAGATCACACGGGATTCAGAGCTGAGGCAGGGTTCAGACTTGAGATGGAGGTGAGCCCTGCAGACGCACTGGACCCGATTCTGGGGGTGGGGCAGAAGACGGTTTGGCCAGAGAGATCAGACTCTTGATATTGAAGACAGGTTATTTTCACTATCAGATGTTGCTGGTTAATGTCAACAAGTCTTTTATGAACCTGAAAGGCCCTTTTCACATGTCTGACCTTGCAGGCTGGGTTGTGGAGACTCAGTGTCCATCAAAGCCCCCAGCTCAGTGCCAGCAAATCATCAGAGTGCTCGCTAAGTAGACCGCATTGTTTTGCAAGCACGCTGATGAGCTGTTCTCCCAGGGCAGCCACAAATGTGTCGGGCACAGACTCAGATCTCAGCATCTGCGGGTCCTCGGACAGTGGTGGGGCTAGTGGAGTGGTGGCTGCAAACTCTGAGCACGACTGGAGTCTGGAAAGTAGGGACTGCTCTTGACAACGTGATGGGGGCTGGGCTGGGCGGCCCCGGAAGGCAGGGCGTGCGCCCAGCCCCAGCGGCCCGGATAGGGGAGTTGGCCTGGGTCAGCGTAGCGGGAGAATGGGGGGAGGAGGCTGCAGTTGAGGAGAGGTGGGGGGAAGGGCAGGCCAGGCACCGGGCACAGGACGTAAGAGCCCGAGCAGGAGGGAGCAGGTGGCGGAAGGCCAGGGTGGCCGGAGAGGAGGAGGCGGCGGGAAA